TAAGTTTAATAACATTCTGCAACAATTAACTTTATATTTTTTAACACTAACTTAAACAGAAAGTTACTTTGACTTTATATTTTCGTAAACTTAGCGAAATATACAAGAATAAAGTGTAAAGCTACCAATCATTCCGACGGTCGACTTCATACTGAACCGAAACTCTTCGTAGCAGTACTTCCAGTTTTACAGTACTACCCTTGTTAGAACGATATGCTCCCGAAAGCCTTTTCACGGATTATTTATCTAGAGCTAAGCGCCCTCTTTGGTTTAAAAGTTATTATTATAAAAGTTCATCACGTTTTACTAAATGTTTTAATTTTTATCACAAGATGGCGCTGATTTATACTTTGGCAACATTGCTAACAAAAAGAACACATACAGATAAAACAAGGATCGAGTTTCGTTGGTGTCACGACGAATCAACATAAATTTTCAATATCGCTTAATACATATCATGGAATCGTTGTACAACTCCAAGTTGTTTTCTAACTAAGCTCCTGATAAAATCAAAATGGTTTTAAATCTATAGGTAGTAGTGAAAGATGTTATTATAATTACGTGGCAACTGGCAACGATGATCCAATCTGTCGTCTGTCGGTCAAAAGGAAGTTTGTCAGATTGTCACGCTTTTCTTCTGTGTATTTATTACGTGTAGCATTTAAGATAAACCATTTTACTTAATATCTTTTTTATAATTATACTTTAACACTAAGATAAAACTATCACAATGAGTACTATATTAGAGAAAATTGCCGCTATCGAGTCTGAGGTAAGTCATGGAGGTTATGTTAGAAACTTTTTATTACCCAATATATTAATTAATTAATTGAATTGATAGTACAGTGTTTTAAATATACATATAATTACAGTAATTTTTGTAACGTATTGTTAAATTTACGTTAAATATTATTGGTATTTTAGATGGCCCGGACACAAAAAAATAAAGCGACAGCACTTCATTTAGGCATTTTGAAAGCAAGACTAGCTAAATTGAGACGAGAATTGATTACACCTAAAGGAGGCGGTGGCGCTACAGGCGAAGGTAAGCTGGTATTTCAAGTAATTGATACCAGTTGGTAACACTTCATTATTAGACAAGTATGTAAACAACATTTTATATTTAATTGGATTAATATAAAATACTGTTACACCAACTTTTCTTAACTTTTTAATTTGTGAATTAAAAAACCCAACTGACTGTATCCTTATAACATTCAAGGGTATCAATGTAATTCAAATTACATCTCTGTCGTCATAGTTCATTTGTTCTCTTGTGTGACATAATTACAAATTCACATACATAAATGCATAAATAATGTTTTAATATTTGATTGAATTATTACAGGATTTGACGTTGCCAAAACTGGTGATGCCAGGATCGGGTTTGTAGGATTTCCATCTGTCGGGAAGTCTACTTTGCTCTCTAACCTAGCTGGGGTGTACTCAGAAGTAGCAGCGTATGAATTCACAACATTAACAACTGTGCCAGGTTGTATCAAGTATAAAGGTGCTAAAATACAGGCAAGTGTAATTTACAATAGAATTTACTTAATCATCATCATCAACCTGCCCTTTCCTTATCGAGGGTCGGCACAGTATGTACTACTCCTCCATACATCTCTATCAGCCGTCATATCCGAGTCTACCCCCTTCTTACACATATCCTCTTTCACACAGTCATTCCATACTTTTTTTGGTCTTCCCCTACCCTTGTAGCCACCCACATTCAATCTCATTACTTTTTTGCTTATATCATCATCATCCCTCCTCATAACATGTCCAAACCAAGCTAATCTTTTACTCCTCAATTTCTTGATCACTGGCGCTACTTTCAAACTTCCTCTAATATACACATACATACTTAATACATAAGTTAAATCCATATATTGAATTAGGTTTATAACTGTAGATCCTGGTTGAATACTATGTTATTGTCAACCATAGTGATAACTGTATATAAACAATACAATACTGGCCATATTAACTGATAAAATAGGGAAAATATTTTGTAAAGTGTTCATGAAAAAGATTAAAAAAGAACTATTAGACATATCTAAACATATTTTAGCATTCGGACATTACTTTATGCCAGAGTAACAAAGATAAAAGTAAAAATTTATTTACTTACTATTGTGACTATGTCGATGCGGAAATAAAAAAAAACTGTTAATAGCCTACATGTTCTTCCATACTGTTCTACATCTATGTCGAATTTCATAAAGATCCTTTGATCCATTCTCCAGATACCTCCTACCAAACATTCCATCTATCCATACATTTATAATATTAGTAAGGTCTAAATTGTGTTTGAGAAAGAAATGTAGACCCGTGCAAAGCCAGCGCTAACATCTAGACATTTGTAATATCAGCATAGAGAGATAACTAAATGCTATTTCTTTTCATTGCAGCTTCTTGATCTTCCGGGTATTATTGAAGGTGCTAAAGACGGTAAAGGTAGAGGTCGTCAAGTAATAGCAGTGGCTCGTACCTGCAGTCTTGTCTTCATTGTGCTGGATGTTCTCAAACCGCTACAGCACAAAAAACTATTAGAACATGAATTAGAGGGCTTCGGGTTGCGGTTAAACAAACAACCTCCAAACATTCATTTTAGAAAAAAAGATAAAGGTGGAATCAATTTGAATATAACTGTAAGTTACTTTATTCTTTTCTTATTCCTCTATAATTCAGGTTATCAACGTAAAGAATAAGTTCCTACTAAAATCAGGACTGTGCTAAATAGAAATCCGTAATTTTTAACCTTAACAGTAAAATGCTAATTAAGGTCACGGAAGTATTGCCTGTTGAGTATTATATAACATACTAGTTGTATACCGCTACTCTGTCCGCGCGGCATTCACAAGAAAAGTTATTAAGTAGTCTATTTGTTCTTCCATACAATGTTCTACATCTATGCCAAATTTCAACTAGATCCATTGATCTGTTCCGTAGATACCTTCAAACAAACATCCAGTCATCTAAACATTTGCATTTATAAAATTAGTAAGATATTGTCAACTTGCATAATTTCAATTTTATTATATCAAAGAAATCATTATAAAATATAGATTACAATATACTATAGATTAAAAAACATTTTTGTTCTACTTCCAGTGTCCACAATCAGAACTTGATATAGAAGCAGTAAAAACAATTCTATCTGAATACAAGATCCATAATGCAGATATTACTCTCCGATATGACGCTACCAGTGACGACCTTATAGATGTTATTGAAGGCAACAGAATTTATGTTCCATGCATCTATCTACTTAATAAGATTGGTGAGATTTATCCATTCCGAGTTAATTTTTTCAGCTATTTTGGCAATTTTAGTAAATAAAATAGTATATATTTAAAGGTTAAGTAATATTAATACTTTAGAAAAAGCATCATTAACTCACTGTACGTCCACACTGAGGGGCTCGGAGCCTAACCAATCTTTAGGGTGACTAGGCTATGCTATGCTGGCCGAGTGCTGGGTGGTTGACTTAATATATATCTTTGAATAATCAACTGAGAAAAAATGTTTGACCAAAAATATTTTATGAAGTAATTACGAAGATTACCATAGATTGTGTAATTTGTCTATGGTTAAAATATTTAATAAGTAGTCCATACACTTATAAAATCATTATATTATTAGCATTAATGGTCCCTAATTAATTTTATTATTTCCCAGATCAAATTAGTATTGAAGAGTTGGATGTTATTTATAAAATTCCTCATTGTGTACCAATCTCCGCCCATCATAAATGGAATTTCGATGACTTATTGGAAAAGATGTGGGAGTATTTGAAGCTAATTAGAATATACACAAAACCTAAAGGACAACTTCCCGATTATAATGCCCCTGTTGTGTTACATGCAGATAGAACTAGCGTTGAAGACTTTTGTAACAAACTCCATAGGTCTATTGTGAAGGAATTTAAATAGTAAGTAAAGTTTATGAAATACTAGCTCTACCCCCCGACATTGTTCCTGCAGAATTAAAAAAACTTAGTAGCATAATGACTACAGATATTTACTACATCTATGCCAAACTTCACCGAGATCTGTTAAGCCATACTGGAGATACCTTCAAACAAACATCCATCAATCTAAACATTCGAATTTGTAATATATTAACTTGAAATGGAACATTGAAGTATGAAAAGTTTGCAATTATGTTACTTGTACCATTCAAAACAAATTTGTATTACTTATGTGAACATCATGGTTAGTTTATTCATATTTTTACAGTGCATTAGTATGGGGTTCTTCTGTGAAGCATCAGCCTCAAAAAGTTGGTATAGAACATATCCTGGCGGACGAAGATGTTGTGCAAATTGTTAAAAAAGTTTAATGTGTGAAAGAAATTGATTATTTTGAAACTAAGTGAAGTACGGCAAAATATATTATTTTAAGCAATTGAATTGTTGAGCATTAAAACGGTGTATTTACATGAGATGTAATAATTTTCACTAACCATACAAATAAAAATTTAAAATTTAATAACCTACTTCAAACTTTGTTCAGTTTGTAACCTTGTTTCAGGATCAAGTGTCATTTATACTTTGAGTTATTTTGAATAAAATAACGTTTTCGGTTAATTTAATTTTTATTTTTCCTTTAATTCCACTAACACTTGTACTGTAGATGAGACACAACAATCTTGACGAACTAAAATATTTTATTTATTTCTCCTATATGAAGGAACCTTATACAAATCAATAAATCAACGCAATGAAGGAAGCCTACGTTAAGCAGTGAACATACTCTGGCTTATAATTATGATACAAATCAAAGTTATAAAAGAATCAAAACGAAATTTTCTTTTTATTCTATAAAATCTCTTTCTTATTTTTATCCTTGGTGTCTACCATAGTGGATATTCCGCACAAGTCCAAAGTAATGAACATTTTCCAAATAAGATATGACCTAAAGGTCTATGTTACCAGGTCATAAAATTAAAAAAAAATGGTTATTCCACAACTGTCAATGTCAGTTGTCAACGTCATCTGATATAAATAAACAACAATTTAAAAGCCTCATGAAAACATTATAACTTAGTATCGTCGTTTTGATGATAAATTGGGTTGGAAATTACGTATGTTACAATTAAAGTCTTGAACATATTGAATTGCGTGAAATCTCGGGAAGATTTCTACTACTTTGACTAACATCGTTACATGATGACGACATTTGAAAATTTAACGAAATCCCAAGTAAGTTCTCCAGGTTCTTCTATCCTAAATCCTGTATTAAATTATTTTACTTTACACAATAGTATTCATTCCATGAAAGCACATTTTTCTGTTGACTGCCTCAAATTCATGTTACGACGTAGTATCATACGTTCATTATAGATGGCACTTTAACAAAGTTAAATGAACAAGACAAAAAGTGCTAAGAAATATTAAATTCCTATTTTCCATAAAACTGTGAATTATTATTAACTTACCAAATATATAAAATAGAATTTTACTTACGATAAGGACTACGATAGAAGTTAAACAATGTATTTACTTTTTTTAGAAGCTCCGAGCTTCTTTGCATCGTGACGTGCAGGCCATTTGCAAAGAAACATGTCATAACCTTGGCTTGGACATAACGAAACCATCAATGGAAGTCATCGCTGAGCTTGTCTATAAGAAACTCAGCATTTACGCTCTGGACTTGGAGGCATTTGCGAAGTATTATTTCCTATTTTTTTTAATGCGTTTAGGTAATTTACCTAAGAAAAGAATTAGAAACAAACGAACATCAGGTTAAAATAATTTTGAGTTTTCACTGTCGAAACAAAACATTATAAAAATCGAAAATTACTTTTTTCGACATTAATATTTTTGTACTTACATACATAAGAAAGTCATAGTAAGAGCTCCCTTAGGGTATGTTCAGACAGACAGGGGCCGAGAGTAGAACAGAAAAATCTGCTCTACTCTCTTCCCCCGTATCTCGTTATCATGACTCGTAGTGTTAGAAAATTTTTACATCAAAAATCACAAAACTATAAAATATATACCATTTCTACTTATTCATGGTTCATTATTTTATAGACACGCTAAACGAAGCACTATCAACTCTGATGATGTCTTATTATTGGTAAGAAGAAATCCATCTCTGGTAAGTAATTCCAACCTCGTTATATCTCTTATATATAAAATTAATAAGCTAATCTTATATGTAAAATTCTAGTGTCTCAATCTTCGTTCTCATACTCCTCTGAAACGGCTTGACCGATTCTCATGAAATTTTGTGAGCATATTTAGTAGGTCTGTGAATCGCTATTATCTATTTTATAATCCCGCGCGGACGAAGTCGCGGGCGACAGCTAGCAACATATAATAACAATGGCTAGACCACAGATGTAGTTGTAAATTGCATTATACCCGCGATCCTTGATTAGGTCCGTATGTTTATTCATACAAACTCACACGCCCCATTCCAAAATAATGAATCGCTTTCCGGTTATTTTAGCGGCAATTTTAATTTAAATACGATTCTGAATGACTAACACAGCTTGATGGACTTTATTTATGCAATTGCTGTTTTCGTTCTAAAATGATATACCTAATTGAAATCCCATTACCGCGTGATGTATTCGCGTTGCCTAAATTTGTTACATCTAACACGTTGCCTGTTAATTCTGGTTTGGTTAATTATAATATTAATAAGTTTGTTTTTATCTTTATAGATGCATGTCTACATAAGTTGTTTATTTATGATGAAAGTGACATATTTTTTGCTTCTTTTATGTGGGTTAATAAACAGAAACAACATTGCTTGTTAATTAAATTTGGCTAATTTTGAAGTGAATTCGATTAGCATTCTTGACTACATTGTTATAGATTTAAAGTTAACACTTATCATGGGTTTTTGAGACCAAGATATCTGCTTAAAATATCATTGTCACTTTTGGCAAACAGAGATAACATAATGTTTTAATCGGGGATACTGGTCTCAGAAACTCACGGTTAGTGATTAAATTAATTATTACTTTGTGAATTTTTTTTTCAGAAAGCACATTTGAGCGGTCTTATAAGTAATCAACCTTCGACTTCAAAAGATAAAAGAAGAAAGACTAATGTTGCGACAAACGTGAAAGAAACTCCTACAAGTACAAAATCAAAACCAGGAATCGAAAGTGAAAAGTTGGATAAAGAAATAGTAAACAAAGAGAAGAAAGATAAAGAAAAAGAAATAGAAAACGACTTAAAAATGGACAATAGAATTAAGGATATGTCTATAGATGGTACTATAGATTTAACTTTTGATTAAAAAAAGAAAAACATATTTTTGTTTTTTATAACCTTCAAAAAAATCACTAAGATTAATATATAATATATAATAATATATCAAAATACTAGCTGTCGCCCCAGACTCCGTCCATGCGGAATTAAAAACTAACTTAGTAAGTAGCCTATGTGTTCTTCCAGACTATGTTCTACATCTGTGTAAAATTTTATGTATATAAGTGAAGCCGTTCCGAAGATACCTTGTAACAAACATCCATTCATCTTTCGTATTTATAATATTAGTAAGATATTAAACTAATAGCTAATGTTAAACTAAAAACTAACAGTAAGTTTATATACGAGGTGTACACAAACTGTTTTGCCTACCGTACCAACAAGTACATCGACCACCAAAAAACTCGTTATAACGGAACACAATTACTAAAGACTAGAAGAATCCTTGGAGCTGCTACAGACAGTATAATTTTTTTTATTGAAAATTCAAACAACTTTACTATGGTCCTCATTACATTGGTAAATTGAGTTACATATGTAATTTAGATTATGAGCAAGGAAGAAACAATGTTTCTTCCTTTACAAACATGAAATTACTTATCAGTAGTCTAAATAACTTTGTTGTTTGGTCATGACTATGTCATAATGTATAGCACAATACACATAAATATTGAAACTTAGCTCTCGTCACAAATGATGTTTTAAGGTTAAATACAAAGCAAAGGAACAGTGGTAGAGCCCGCTTTAACATCTTCGCACGAATTGACCCGGCTCGCCCGGTGAAATACCACGACCATACAGAAGACAGGCGTCAAGTGGAAGCAATTCCAACTAAAGTCTGATGTGTGTGCGTCCCTGAGGCCTCATTTAGTCCTCTTTCCCTTCCCACCCCTTTTTCTTATAAGGAAAGGATGGGAAGTGGAAGTGGACGTTCCGGATGAGAGGATGCACAGGAAAGGAAAATATTTTCTTTCTGTGCATCCTCTCCTGCGGCGATTAAAGGTAGGCAACGCATATGCAATTGTGTATGTCTATGGGCAGCGGTCGCTTCGCTATTTCAGGTGGCCGCTCGCTCGTTTGCCACCTTTTAAAAAAAAAAACTAGCCAAACGTCTTTGCAATCCCAAAAGAAGTACTGTTAATATAAAGAACTTAATATGATCCAGACGAATGCTTTGTTTGTGCGCAAAAAAATTAAATTGTACATCTTTTAAAATAAACCTTTCTTAGCATTACGTGAACAATCATTAGCATTTTAAAATTAAATAAAAAAAATGCGACTCAATTTCTTTCACTGTTCCCAGTGGTTAATTACTCCTATAACGACAGTTAGAGTATAATGAGATTTTTGCAATTCAACAGTAGCACATTACAGGGCGCTGTTTGTCAACCCCCCTTCCCCTAAGCTGACCACCCCCTGCGGCTAGGGGGGAGTTATTAGGTAGCTTTGTTAATGAATTTCATGTAGACTAACACCGTGTAAACACTCGCTCACGTGTGCTGTGTGAATAAAAGAATATGTGGATGATAAATATTCATAACTAACAGTCGCCCGCGACTCTGTCCGCGCGGAATTCAAAAAATTAATTAGTAGCCTATGTGTTCTCTCAGACTATGTTCTACATCTATGCCAAATTTCATCAATTTTACTAAGTAACGTAAGGAAAAGTTTGTTTTGTAGTATAGTTTATTTAGAAAGTACGGGGTAACACACTGAAATGGACTATAGTTTTATTACAGCGTCAGTGGCGCAGTTGTTAAGCGTTTGACAGGACTAGATATTTAGCCAATCATTCCTGGTTTGATTCCCGCCAAATACCAATGTGTTTTTCGGTTCACAATTAATTTCACGTTCGTACGGTGAAGGAAAACGTGATGCAATCTCCATATCAGCCAAGAAATGCAACGATATGTGTGAAGTCAATCTGCACGTGGGCAGCGTGGCTTGACTATGGCCTAGTCAACCCTATCTGGTAAGCTCCGAGCTCCCTAGTGGAGACGTTTATAAGCTGACGCAGACGATAATTTTATTTGGTTAGTTAAAAGTCTTTATAAACAAGATTGTAATTACTAATTGGATTCCTTTTTATTGACTCAAAGTACTCGTGTGGCTTATTAGTCTAAACACAACGGCACCCAAGAGCCAGTTTACTCTACTTTACCTAATTAATATGCAAATTAATCATCATCAGCTCACTACAGGTCCCCACCGAGGGACTCGGAGCCTACCCTAAGTTAAGGGTGATTAGGCCATAGTCAACCACGCTGGCCAAGTGCGGGTTTGTTGTCTTCACACATATCTTTGAATTTCTTCACAGATATGTGCATGTTGCATCACGATGTTTTCATTCACCGTAAGAACGTCAAATAAATGTACATATGTAAATCGGAAATCGAAAAACACATTGGTACATGGCGGGATTCGAACCCATGACCTGCAGATTGCAAGTCAAGTGCTTGACCTCTGAGCCACCGACGCTCTTAGTTATTATGATTATTTTCTACAATTCGATATAGGCTTTTTATGTTGCGCTACGTATTAAAAAAGTTTCAACGGCTGTTTGTTAAGTTGCCATAAAACAAAAAAAAATATTTTTATCTGAATAATAGATCGTTGGAGTTAAGTCTTGGTTAGTGAACCATGAACTTTAACAAGTCTACTAGTAAGTAGATTTGTTTTAATAAAAACAATAAGAAAAAACAATTCCATCAAAACATTTAAAGGTATTGCGGTGTTCAGATTAAAGATTGAATATTCACAAGTTCAAGCGAACAAAACTTGGCTGCACGTTAGAAAATAAAGTACTAGAAACAAGGATAACAAATTAGAGTCTAATGTAAATCAGTTCCGAACAAAGCGAAGTGAGCCGATCTAGGATACCTGGACGGGACCTAGGCGTTCCAGATGCCTGGACGGACTTAGGCGTTCTAGATAGCTCGTGGCTAGCTAGCTCGCGAAGATAGGCCTGCGGTGCTCATTAAAATATGTAAATGCCGCTCTGAGACATTACGCAGATAGGTGCTTCTGACTTATTGACTGAATGGCTTTATGCTATATGATGCACGCCATATTATTTTATCAAGTTCCTCGTCTTAACGTAAACTGTGAATAGTTCTTCAGAAAGCTGCTGATGCAGTGGTAATCCGAGAGTACAACGAAATGCTTTAAAAACAATGACATTAAAATGTAACCTCCTAAAATCTTAATTAATTTGAATTAGTTTGTTATCATTGCTGCCAACATTTACAAAACCAAATCAAACTCTTTCATTCTGGGTAAGAAAATTGAGATAACAATAGTTTTTTTTGTACAAATCTTTCCGCATGAAAAGTCACGGTAAAGTTGCAGTATGTATGTCAAACATATTTTTTATAAGTGTTGTCGCGTGTTGCATAATCCTCTCCGAGTTGTGAACGCATTACTCGTTTACGGGGCACCTACCGCGCGCAACTATTTAGTATCATTACAAATGTCGCTCGCCGTGTCCGCGTGTCCGTCCGCCTGTGTGCGGGACCTACCGTTCCTTATTAATAAGCCGTATTGGGCTAACCTGTATGGAAATGGCTTTTTACTTTATAATCCTTTTTTATCTATAATCTTTTCTGTTATATGGGTTAAAATGTGAAACTGCATACAAATGCTCTGTAGAATATCTCTTGAAAGTATGAATTTTCTTCTCATTCCTTTCTACGGCACAGTTTAGATTACGTAGCTAGTTTTTCACAAAAGAAATCTATGTTTTTCATATGTCAAGGTTCCAAGTGTTCACTGGATGGGGTGGATTATTTGGGGAACCCTTCATTCTAGCATATTTTAAATATCCTAAAATAAACAGTAGTTTAACTGTCTACAAAATAGAAGTAATAACTTTTTAAGTTCTAATATGAAGTCTTCATTTTAACAATGAAAGTAAAGCCGTGTCCATAGCAAGGGAGCGGTGTTCGTTACCGCGACTCGCTGAGTTAAGCACGGGTGTTGTTTTGTTCGGGCCTCAGTCGTCATTACGTACCTCCAGCTCATTACTGCCAACAGATCACTCGCTTAATTTGTGCATTTCCGATCCAAAGATATTCAAATTTCAACTCTAATGACGCACGGGGAAATGTTAATAAAATGTTAATGCGGCGAAAGCGGTCGTCCCGGTCCGCAATAAGTGACAGATTTGCTTGACAGACGGAGCTCGTTTGCGGCCGTATGAATAAGTCACGATCGAGTTTTTTGTATGCCCTATTATTTATAAGGTTTAATGCTGGCTGGTACCTGGTACTTCGCTATTTTTAAGTTCCGACGTCGCGATTGATTGAACATCTTATACCGCTCAATATTCTATAAACGAATAAATAAATATAAAGATGGGATCACTTCCTGCAACTAAAAATACGAGATCACTTAACAATATACATAGTTTAACAATACGAGCTTCTGGGGAGTGAAGTTAGCTGATGTTCAGTGTAGCCATTTTAATGACAGTAGTAGACTTAACAGTGGTAGAGCCCACTTTAACGCTTTCGCACGAATTGGCCGGTTCGCCCAGTGCAAAACTACGACCACACAGAAGAAAGGCGTGAAGTGGAATTAATTGCGCGTTTCGTCTGATGAGTGTGCATCCCGTAGGCCTAATTTTAGTCCTTTGCCCCTTCCCACCCTCTTTCTTATAAGAAAAGGATGGTTAGTGGATTTTTTGGATGCAGGAATGCATGGAAAGGAAAAATATTCTCTTTAGGTTCATCCCCTCCTCCGTCGATAAAAAAATGACATTCGCAGCTATGTTGAAGATCTCTAAAGTAAAAAATGTATCGTCATTCCTGTCAACTTTGACAACACAGAGATATGTTTTAAACGGAGATTTTGCTCTCATAATGGTTACTCTAATTGACCTCAGAAGTGTAACTCAAGGTTTCTTGCTGCAATATTTAGCAATAGTTAATTCCAAAATGAAGATAAACTTAATGAGGTATTCGGCTAAGCCGGGATACTCTGTATCATGTAGGAGGGCGTCCACCATTGAATTATTCATTAAAATCAATGCACTT